TTTTCTCTTGATAATCAACATATACAAAGAAGACTTATAAATGCACTGGCAAGAAAAGGAAGACTAATTTGTATAGAAGGTAGAACTTAGAAGACCGAGAGGAAAACCAAAATTACATCTGATAAAATTAATAAAAAGTAAAATATTCTAAGAGAGATGTCTTGTAATAGTCAAGAAAGGCAAGGGTGACCATCATAATTTGTCAACATGAGTACTCCAACAAGAAGACATGCATCCAAGTAATATAGACAAAACAAAGTACTTAAAAACAACTGGTTTCAAGAGCTTTTCCTCATTTTTCTATAATTGCGTCAAGAAAAATGAAGTAAAAATGTCCAGTTCCCTCTGTTCCTTTTAATTTAGAAAGCAACCCTATAGTACAAAACTAGTTTAATAACAATCATTATTAACAGTCATTATCCAGTCCCTGTCCCACTAACGCATTGGCTGGAATGCCTGTTTGGTTCTATTCACTCAAAATAATCTTTAGAAACTTTGAAAACGAGGAACAGTTTTTTAAAGAACTATGGAAGTTTACCCTCTAAAATTGAACTTTTTAGACTCAATTCATATAAAAAAAAAAATTCCATAAAACAGTCAACAAAACAATTTTTTTAAAACAATTTTCAAGTTTTTTTCCTCTCAAAAAGCATAAATGTATTCTCAGAATGCAGAATTAAAAAGATGACTTTTTGTACTACCGTTTAACTTAGACTAGTACTCTCATTCTCCAGGTCAAAAGACTTTCCCCTTCCATACTGGTCTTTATCAAAATTAAAAAGGCAAAACAATACAATATCTTGTACATCCAACTATAAAATACCAAGATTAGTATTTGAATAAGATAGTTTAGTTTAGTATAAAAAGGCACAATTCGACAGGTTCTATTGACTGTGTGGCGCATTGGATCTGAACTAATCAATTATTGAATACATAAGCCATTTGTAAACTTTATTTGACTTTTTATTCAAATTCCAATGGTGATCGGTCGGGACGAATGTGGCCCACCATTTAAAATTATCTCCCTGTTCACATCATCGCCAAAACTATCCTATCCACCTGCTCATTGTTTCAAATCCAAACAAATTATTGTAAAAACTAGTAACGAATTCAAAACTCACATGCTCTGCGGCCAGTAGAAGCCAAAAGATACCCCTTAATTCCAACAGCATTTTCATTCCAAATTCAGTTATGAGATGCACGTATAAATTTTTTTTAAAAATCACAATAATGCAGATATATACATATGCAACAAACACACCCACCACTCTCGTACCCATTTTACCCTTTATTTGTATCGTTTTTTGTTTCATTGAACATTCACATATAGCTTACATACAGCGATATTTGACAAACCTATATTTGTACCACTGAATGACAATCACAGTTTAAATCCTATTATTTGATGAAAGTATTGTTTTGTACCATATTGTCTATGTAATGCTATACAAAATAAGCAATCTTTAGTTGCATCCTATTCCACCACTCCCTACTTACCAATTTTTATAAAGGGAAGTAGCAGACTATCCCAGAGATGTTACAAATTTACATTCTGCTTACCATTTCAAAGAATCAGAGAATGTAACAAATCAATTAGGTCCAAAGAAAGAGCTCCAAAACCCCTTCAATTTCAACATGCCAGTGCCTCAAATTTGAGGCAGGTAACATGAATGTAATGTATTTTTGTAGTCAGCTACTGAAATGCTGTTGCTTCTCTGAGAGTTGCTATTGACTTCCTTTGGCTCCAGTTTTTGAAGAGGAGTCTCCGGAGCCAGTCTTGCTGGAATTACTTCTCATCTTCCGTGGACTACGACTTGATCTGGCTCACTTTTTAACCTTGGGGAATGATGGCCCTCTCACTTTATCACAAATGTCCCCACTCTTCATAGCTGTTCCAACATCTCTCAGTTGCATTGACTTGGTCCCAGTATCATCTTCGTATGCAGTAGCTTGTACAGTACGTCTTCCTTCACGGTCAAGCTTGTTCCATCTGTCAAGATGCTGATGATGATAAACAGAGGTAGTTAAGACTTCAGTCAAACTGAATTTAATAGCAAGTAGTTGAGCAATATTTAGTCATTCCAAAAGGACAGTCATCTCTAAATCATAAAAGCATACAAACATCAAAATGTATGCATTAGTTATGATGTTGCCCAATAATCATTTGCTACGTATTTTGATTCCTCACAATGATGTTAGGTGGTCTTTATAGAATGCAAACCTTTTAGAGTATAACTGCACCTATCTACTGTTCTGAGAGCTTTGGAGAAGTGATATTCTTCAAAGTATTTCTTATTTGCTTTGACAGAAAATCTACAAGCAATCCATCTAATGGTGTTAATAGTCACAATTCTAAAATACACCGTACTGATATATGTGTATTTAGATTAGCTGAGAAATTCAGATAGAGTACTTGGCCTCTGTTGATAATATATCAGAATGCTAAATGATACAGGATTTCAAACAATGTAATAAATACACAGGTTTTAGATTTCAAAAGCACAAAGCTAGTATTCGTTAACTAGCCCTAGAAAAGAACATGGGTTTGATACAGCACAAGGGAGGGGAATGAGAGAGAGAGAGAGAGAGAGACAGCAAGCACAGCAAGCGCAAGACACGAATTTAGAGACAGAAAATTAACTGCTTGAAATACCAGAAAGAGATCTATACTGTATTGAGGGTCAATGCAAATTTACCTCACAATACAGTATTCGTCTTTCGTGCAAGGGACCATGTTCTGCATCCAATCTTTGGTAATATTCCTTCTTCCTGCTCAAGTTGTTTTGCTAAAGCTTCCATTTCTGGTACATCCGCTCTTACGAAAAGAAAAAGCTTGTTCCCACATGGGCAGTTACAGGACTCTACCACTGCATTGCACATTTGAAATCAGAAGAAATAGCAACTAAATTATTGTTATGAAGAGTTAGAAATAACTGCATCGGAGTTGCATAGAATTTAACATCTAAGTTTATTGATTTAAATGGATTCCCAAAATATTATTCATTGAAATCCTTGCATGATAACAATTTAAAGTGTTAAAACAAAAAATTGATATGCAATGAAAAACAAAAGCACCAATTTGGAACTAAACAAACTGAAAGAACATTGTGTTCCGAAAACAATGCTAAATTCAGCAAAAGTGCTACCTTAGAAAAGGTAAATGGGATTGATATAGCAGTTGCACGTGATGTGTGCAACGTAGCAGTCCCGTTTGCAGAGGCTACAAAAAATGGTTCCTTGTGAATCTGGAGAAACAATCGGTGATGGTCTTAATTTCTGTAGAACACCAACGGGCACAATGATGCAACCACATCAGGCATGCAAAAGAAACTTTTACACAATTGTGAGAGGTTGGATGTGCAAAGCAATAATCTTCATGATTTAAGGACTTGGAAAGAAGCATTGCTTCTTTACAAACCAGCTCTTCATAAGAAACAATTGGCATCCTTCTGAGAAGCGCATAACGCTGGGTAGCAGCTGCCCCAAATGAAAAACAGTCATCAATAGCAAAGTTAACTGCCTCACCAGAGTTAAAGCCTGAAGATGCAGAAGAAGAAATGGGTAATATAAGCACATATGCCTTTGTGTGCATGCGTGCTGCGAGAAAGGGGAAGGGAGACTTAAACATCAAATGTTTTTCCATTACTAAATCCCGCATGATATGATCTGGGAAAGGTGATTATAAATTCCCCTGGCAAACAGCTCTATAAACAGGGACATCATGTTTTAGCAAAATATTTGGAGGAAACATTGTTGTTTTCTCCACAAGCACGGCAAAAGCTTCATTTTCTCCATCAATTGATATATCATGATTATAAACATAATGTTGTACAACTTTCTCAAATTCGGGAGCTGCATGGCCAGGAACTCCATACCATGTTTTGGGTGCCCCACAGTGATGATAATTGATGCTGAAGGAGGAATAATTAAAATATATGAAAAACAGGTTAGAGCAATAAAATAAGATAAAGACATTAATAAAACAAAATATACCTGTACAAGTAATGATCCTCCACATGCCATGCGAACATACTAAATAGCATTCCAATGTAAAGCATGGGATCTGTTATTCCCTGGAACAGACAGAACTTATGGTTAAGCTCAAACCATAAGGTTAAAATATTCAGCAAACGCAATGTAAATTATTACATTACCGGAATAGCAGTTTCCAGCAAACGCACTGTAAATTTGGGCAACCGTGGAAGTGACTGATATTAAAGCAAAAAAAGATAAAACAAATAAGATAATAATAAATAAATAAAAAGTATGCAGATGCAGTCGCAGAGATTTACTCTCCGATCCTGATAATCAATTGAAGCCACAAATTAGCAGCTAAGATCATTTTGAAAATATGGAAAACAGTTAACAGAGCGTTTCAACACACGCAGATACGTTTATGAAGTGTCAGCGAGCACCATTGAGTAACAGTATGAGTTTTTAATAGAAACAAGAAGCGAAATAGACTTCTCACTTCTATTAAAAACCTGCAACTCAAACAAATAAAACAATATGATACAAACAAATTCATAAATGAGGGGAGGAGGGTAAAATGTCTTAAGCATACAAAATGCCCTGGTTTTCTTTGATAGTTTGTAGATACTGAGAAAACACATCTGAATATGAGCTACCAAACCCACCTCTACATTCTCAATTTTTGCAGAACTTTTTGTCTGGCAGAGATCACTCAGCTAAGATAGAAAACCACCGGCCTGTATTACAACATAAAGAACATATTCCAGGAGCTACTTAAACAAAAAGAACTAACAACTAAAAAAACCATCCTAAAATTTAATATATAAATTTAAAGAAATTAAATGAATTGTGTCTCCTACCTCTAGCCAAGCAGAAGTTTCACTTCATGTAAACAGTCAATATGGTGAGATTACAAGGGATTACCATATTGACCAATAACCAAAAATTAGCTTATTAATAAAAGTGAAAAATCATCATACCTTTGCTGCACTAACCATCCTCCCTTTCGTGTTCTTCTCTGCATCTCGATGTCTCGCCCTTCAAAATATGTTGCTTGGATGATAATTCAACCCCCGACAATTTTAATGGAGTCGATGTTTGACTATCAGGACCTTGTGGTCCTTGTGGAGTGGAAGATGGCTTGTGGAGTGGAAGATGGCTGCCGTGGAATACTGATAATATCAAAGACTGGTTCCACGGTCCATGGGTTAACACTGATTTCAGTTCGGTCGGAATGTTCCCATCTGACCTGAACATTCATTCAATTGAAGATAAATTCATTTAAGTTCAATATGCTTATACTGTAGACAAAACATGTATTGTTGAATTGATTATCCTCACCTCAAGTAAATTCCATGGATCATTAAGCACAACTGAGGTCACTGTACCTCTAAAAAACTTTACTCCTGAGTTTCAAAAGCCTTCCTGAATATCATACCTACCCGCCAAGGAATACCCAGTGCTTTGTTGACAGAATCCCACACAAAATTGCGCAACAGCTGATCTTGGGTAATATGAAACCATAAAAGGTAAATCTCCTAACCTCTAGATCCTGCTCAATCATTTTAAAATCCCAACAAATATTGCATTAAGTTCAAGAGAAGAGCATCTCGAGCTACCCTTTTTGCCGTTACAAAAGGTTTCCGAAGATTATGACTTTGTTCTCTCCAATATATATGCTTAAACTCTAGCCTTTTACCATGAATATCAGTTGCAAGTATAATCTGAGACGGAGGCTAGATTTCCAGCAATAATTTCTTGTCAAGTTCACTGATGTTAACTTTCGGGCTGATTTAGTTACCAATGAAGTGTTTCCAACCATCTCATTGGTAGGAACCAACTCATTTGATAGGATATGAGCTCCATAAACAGTTGAATCTTCTAAATATCTCATGGTTCCTACCAATGAGATTGTTGCAAACACTTCATTGTAACTAAATCTGCCTGAAAGTTAACATCAGCTAACACGACAAGAAATCATTGCTGGAAATCTAAAATCTGTTGCCTCCGTCTCAGATTATACTGCTACTGGTAAAAGAAGAGAGTTTAAGCATATATATCGGAAAGAACAAAGTCAGAATCTTCTTGATTAATGGCCCTTAGTAGATTACCTTTTATTGTTTCTTTTATTGTTTCATATTAGGCTGTTACTTCCTTTTTAAAAAAAATTTACTTCTATGTTTCTTTTCAATTCAAATATATCTTCCTATTCTTAGTTTAAAAAAGAAAAAAACGAAAAGAGAGAGAGAGAGAGAAGTTGAAGGGAGAGAAACCTTTCGATAATTGATACTCGCGTCGCTTCGGCTTCGCTATGCTTCAGACTCTTTTGGGGATCGTCTAGGATTTCGATCCCTAAGGCTATGTTTGGTAGGATGGGTTTGAAGGAGGAGGATAACATTAGTTATAAGGGGAAGGGAAGGGAATGATAAGTTTAATCCTTAATCGTGTTTGGTTGATTAATGAAGGAAAAGAAATGGAAGGATAACAATCATGTTTGGGAAAAGAAAGGAAAGGGAAGGATAATAAAAAATTTACTATTATGCCCTTTATATATTTTAACAGATAAATTTTTAGATTTAAATATGCAACAATATTTTTGCCCCAAGATTCGGTTCTAAGGCTCAGTTTGGTAGCAAATGCCACATTTATCTTCTCTTTCCAAATCAATATTTCAAAACTCAACAGCACTTAACTAATTTATGCAGTGGTATTGAGGCTAAGCAGCCCAACTCTGCCATGAGAAAATTTGCTCGTGTGCAGCTGATTAAGAATGGGAAGAAGATCGCTGCATTTGTACCCAATGATGGTTGCTTAAACTATATTGAGGAGAATGTAAAAGTCTTCGACAAAACTAGTGTAGATCTTCTTTAATTGCTTGCTTTGTGTTGTAGGACACAAAGCAAGCTAAATCTTATAAAAGGAGCCGGCTCAAGTAAAAGTGGAGGAGGCTCCAATATGAATGGAGCAGGCTCTACTTTAAGTAGAGGAGGCTCCAATATGAGTAGAGCAGGCTCCCAAAATGGGAGGCGGCTCCTTTCAAGAAAAATTGTTCTGGGAACCAATTTTATGTCATGTTAGGTGGCAGAAGTAAAACAAAGAAAAAGAAATGCAATTTACCCAAAAATAAAAAATAAATAAATAAAATGTAACTCACTTTTATTCCTAAAATGAAGTTGAAATAACATTCATACTCAAGAGCACAAATGAATTTCCTATTAAAAGTTTGATTTTCTTCAACAAAAAAGATGATAAAATCAATAAAACAATAATAAAGTCAATGAAATAATCATATTGGTAAGTACTGAAACAATCAACAGATCGCATAGAAACCCCAATTACTAGATCTTCCTTCAAGCAAGTAACAACAGAGAAAAGTAAAAAAATAATCATTAATTTAATCTTTAAATTTGGCTTCTTACTTTTTTGGGTGAGAGGGGTTTGATCACAAATGTAATCAATGATGATCAACAACATAAAACAGTAAGTTAGGTTCTTTCTGACTTTATTTAAAAAAAAAAAAAACTTAACAACTCAAGGCATGAAGTGGATCGAACATACAGATCCACCAATTTCTTGCAAATAATGACCCCAAATTAGGAAGTGCCGAGATATAATGGGAATAGGACACTTGAAGGGAGCCGGCTCAACCATGATCATGGAGCCGGCTCTTATGGGTTTTTGAGAGGTGCCGAGTGGAGCCGGCTCTTCCTTTTTGTAGAGCCGGCTCCTCATTTTTTTTGGAGCCGCCTCAAGTAATTGCTGGAGCCGGCTCTCTTGGGCATTTGAGAAATCCCGAGAGTTGGTGTATGCAGGCCAATAATACAGGCCCTAATATAAAGAGCAAATTTGAGGGTAAAATTGGCTTAACAAATATTTTGTATGCCATTGCCTGCCATTGCCTTCCCTTTCCTTCCTTATCCTCCCAATTTTGGAAGGTTAAAAAATTACTGTACGTTGCTTATAAATAACCCTCCAAACCCCTCCCTCTCCTTCCCTTTCCCTCCACTAACTTTACCCAAACACAATTTTTTTATTACCCTCCATCCCCTTCCCTTCCCTTTCCCTTCAAACCCATCCAACCAAACTGACCCTAACTCTCTTTAACTCGTGGGATGCGTGTGTTGTATGCGGAAGAGTTGGCTATACTCGCGTCTCTTCGCTTTCTGACTTCGAGGGTTTCAGATCGCTGGCTCTGAGAAAGTTGGAGGTCTTATACATTGAGGGCCAGTTTGGTTGGAAAGAAATGGAAGGAAAAGAAAAGAAAGGTAATGGAAGGAGATGGGATTTTGTGTTTGGTGTAAAAAATGAGAAAGAAAAGAAGGAAACAGAGGGAAACGGAGGGATTCAACAAGGTAGCAACATCAGTTTTTGTTATCCTCCCATTGGGAGGAAATGAAAGGAAAGGGAAGGTTAGGGTGGTTGTATTATTTCTGATGCCAAATTTACCCTTCCACAAAATCAAGATTACACTTGATTTTAGGATTTGGTTTGCAAAACAAGAATTACATACCTTGATTAGTTGATTTAGAACAAACCCCATACATACAAGTTAGCAGTTACAAAGAGGGGAGGGGGGGGGGGGGGGGGCAAGAGAGTTGAGGGACAGCCGGCCAGCGGTTGAAGCTTGCAAATGGCGAACCCGAACTGGAGCAGCTGGCGATGGAAACTGAAAGATATGGGTTTTGATTTTTTGAACAATCTGTAATGATATGCCGATATGGATTTTGATATAGGTAATAGGTTTTGAACTTTTGATTCTTGTAGACAGATAGATCAACTGAAATATATGGGTTTTCTGATTCTTGTAGATTTTGTAGTTTGCAGTTGCAGAGAGAGAGATTGGGCAAGTTCAGAGTTGAGAACGATAATAGAGATGGAGGCGATTGGGGAGGCTGAATGATTTGCCCTAAAAATATACGGAGTATTTTGTTTTTGTGGGAATCCGGTGGCCCATCATGCATGGGGCAATAAATTTTGACCATAAATTTATCTTTTAAAATATACAGGGACATAATAATAAATTTATTAAAATACTAACCTTTTCTTCCTTATCCAAACATAATAATTATTATTTTCTTTTATTTTTTTTTTCATTAATTAACCAAGTGCGAAAGGAATTTAAAATTACCTTTCTTTTTCTTTTTCCTCGTAACTAATATTATTATTTTTTTTCATTCCTACCATATCAAATATGAGGGTCAGTTTGGTACAATGAGAAATGAAGGAAAGGTGATGAAAGGTAATTTAAAAATTGTGTTTGACATAAATGGTTGTCACAAGGTTTAAATAATAACTTTCAAATGGAAGGAAAGAGGAGAGACTTGATGTATTATTTTTTATGTCAAATTTACCCTTACACGAAATCAAGATTAGTTTGCAAAATAAGAATTACATACCTTGGGCTGCATTTAGTAACAAGAAACGTTTCTTGTTTTCAGTTGTCAACCTTTAAAAAGGTAAAACGAAAACAAAAATAGTGTTCAATAAAAATGTTTTTATTTTTTTATAACATAAAACGTTTTCAATTTTTGTAAAGAAAAGAGAAAACATCAAAATGATGTTTCTTACGTTTTCGGCATTGTAGCAGATAAATGTTTTCATTAATGTTAATACACAGGCACTATTCATTTCAAATAAATTTTATATTATTTGTGTTATATACTAAGTTGCATACTAAATGTTAATAAAAATATATATTTTTAATATAGAATAAATTAAATATTGTATATTATTTTTATTTGATAAAAATATATTTTAATATATAATATAATAAATAATAATGTAAATGATTTTTTGTGACAAAATAATTTTTGATATAGAATATAATGTTATTAAATTATTAAGCAGTAGATATTTTATATTATTATATATCATATCTATATTATATTATATGTAAATATTAAATTATAATTAATTTACAATATTATAACACAATATATATTTTATTACATATAAGATATATTATTTAATATTTTTTTCATAATAAATTATTATATGCTAAATATATTATATATCATATAATAAATGTATACATCATGCATATACATGTATTTATATACATAATTGGTGGGAATGTTTTTGTCTTGATATATCTAATTTTGTACTTATGATGTATTAGGTATTTTTAAGATTTATAATTTTAAATTAAATTTTATAGATTTATGGCTTTTTGATATTAATGGAAACAAGTGTCGTACCTGAGTGGTTGGGATGTTCCTTGTGTCCGAAAGTTCGTGTTCAAGTCATTTACCCTCCCCTCTAATCACTAACTCCTAAAATTCTTGCCATGAAAAAAATAAAATAGAAATGAAAAAAATAAAAAATTAAAGAATATTATGTACATTTTGTAACAAATATGTTGTATTACTAAACACAATTATTGTTTTATATTTTTAAATTTGTGGCAATAAAAAGTGTTAATAAACATCATTTATGTTTTCTAGTTTCACTCAAGAAAACAAAATCATGTTTCTACTTTCTTAAGATTGCAAAACAAAAAAAAAAACAAAAACGTTACAGAATGCACCCTTGATTAGTTGATTTAAAATTTTCATGCAAGTTAGTAGTTGCACAAATAGGGAGAGAGAAAGGCGCGGGGGGGGGGGGGGGGGGGGGCGAACCCGAACATAGCATGAGAGGGGGGGGGGGGGGGGGAGTTGAGAGACAGCTGAAGCTTGCGAACGACGAACACGAACATAGCATTAGGGAAGGAAATTGAACGACCGACCATAACTAAATTACAGTTGAAGACTATAAATATATTATAAATAATAATCAAATTATGGTTACATTCTACTTTACAATTTTCAAATTATGATTACATTATACTTTACAATTTTAATTTGCTGTATATTAATATTATGAAGAATTAATTTTTTTAATATTTATTTGTAAATTTTTTATAAATTTGTTTTACGATTTGACATAATTTAATTTAAAATTAACCTAAATACTGTGTGACTTTAAATTTTTAACTGGAGATTCGACATTCAATTACTACCCAATTTTTTTACGGGCCCACACAAATCTTCGAATATCTGATAAGATCTCCGTATTTCTGATACTTTCTGCAGCCTGATCATTTATTGCTGGGTGTCCAAAAATCTCTCTTTTTCTGTATAGTTCACAGCTTTTACAGAAATACCACAATGAGGTCTTTGTCCAACTAGGACCATCCCATTTCCCAGCTGTATGCAATAAACTGTGTCAAAATAAACTGTACCAAATATACGTATCTTTGAATAGGGAGAAAATAATAATAAAAAGGGTAGACTTGAATTTCTCATTCCATTGGTAACAAAAATTCCTTTTTTTTATTTTTATTTTTCTTTATTATTATTATTATTATTATTATTTTTCCTTCAAAATGTCTTTCAATTGGTAACATTTTATTCATGTTAACTTTCACTTATCAAATTTCGAGTAAAACTCTCAAATATTTGAGAAAGAAAATGATATTTTGGCGGTCTTATTATACATTTGAAATTTGAGTAAAATACAAAAAATTCCTGCATCTTGCAATTAACCATTCGTTGCATTCATTGGAGATTTTTTTTTATACTTTTGTCTAATAATAATAACAATAATAATATGTATAATAATAGGAAACGAATTTTATTAAATCAAGTTATTTTACTCTTCTTTTGGATTTATTTAGCTCTATAATTAATTTTGTACTAGTAAATTTAATTATTTTAAATATAAAGTCCAACTCTTTAGCCTAATTGCATTTAAAAATTTAAAATTATAAAATAAAAAATAAATAATCCAACATCAAATGTAGAGACAATCAACTCTGAATTTCATTCAAAAATTTCCTCTATTTTGTTTTGTTTTTCTTTTTTTCTTTTCATTATAAGGAATAGAAAGAATTCTACTTTTCTATCTTCTTTGTCAATTCTGAGACAAAAATAATAATTTTTTAAAAAAAAACCTCATTTTTTTCATTGTTCTTTCTATCTTTATTTTGTTCCTTTATTTTTAACAAAAAAAAAGAGTAAACTTTTCAACTAAATTGTACTTTTCTCTCTGGTCCTTAATTTATTCTTTGAGATTTTGCTTGGTTATTTAATCTTATTCTCTACTTATATGGAAACTATTTGATTTACAAAATTAGTTTAAGCTACTTTTAATATTTTTGTAGAATCTAATGGAAAAATGACCCTACATACAAACTGAAAGGGAAAATAACTCTATGTTGACTACTTGACAGTTTTCTTTAACTTCCCGAAGATAATGATAGTTTACGATAAAGATGACGTAATTCAGTTGACGAAGATATAAAGAAATCCGTCAATGATGATAAACCAAATCTCTCTAATCAATGTATACTCAACCGTCGAGATCAATGGAATCGAATAAGTGAAATTTTGACACATAATCTTCTTCTATTCGAAGAAATGATTCATCCAAATAATGAGTCACCATTGATATCGACACATTTGAGATCGCCAAATGTTCAGGAGTTCCTCTATTCAATTTTTTTCCTCCTTATAACTGGACTCGTTCATATATATATATCTTCTCTTTGTTTTCTAGGCCTCTAGTGTGACCATAATAACTATGGGAGAGAGCCATTAAACGAGGTATGAGAAAAACTTGTGTTTTGTGACTACATACTTTTCTCCTATCAATTACTAGCTGACTTGAATGTTTTAACTGCCTCCCAACATGACTTAGCCGTTATTGTTTTGCAGAAAATGGTATTGTTCCAGATCGTATAGATTTCCAATCTAAAAGACCCATCATCAATACGATTCTAAGTAGAATCTCAATTCTAAAGTATTCATATTTTCATCAACCTGCACATTTAAGTAAACACTCACTAAATTGATTGATTGTCCAAACTGAATCACAAGAGCAAGGAGGCAAACTTAGTAATTTATTAGAGAATCATAAATTAAGATTAGAGCATATGATAAGTAAAAAATTAATTGAAGCATACCATCCGAAGCCATATAAAGCTTGATAAAGACTCAAAAGTCTCGATCTATGTTGCAAACAAGAGACGCTCTTGCCCAAACAAGTCTCTCTATAATTAACGTACTTCTTATTTATTTTTTGGTGCAAATGGTGTTTTGGCTAAGTGGCTGAATTGTGAGCCCCAGTGGCCTCCCCTACATTATGGATTCTATGTCATCTCACGATGGGGTTAAAAATTTGCTAACTCTGATTCCTAAAACAACATGTTATTTTTTCTCCTCAAAAATAATTTATGTTTAACCATTTTCACTTGACATGTGAACCAATTTGGTAGCGCCCGGTCATTAAAAATCCTAGTTAGTAAATTCGGATAAGCAATTCATCTTTAACCATTCTCACTTGACATGTGAACCAATTTGATAGTTCATTAAATATCCTAGTTAGTAAATTCGTGAATAATATACGCTTTTGTTTTTCGTTCAGGTTTCAATGATCTGGTAAAATACGTGAATTTTATCACCAACACGAATTAAACAATTTTTAACATTTTGATGCATATTAGTCACGGTTTAATACGTGTCAGTCGCTAACCTAACAACACGAATGAAACGATTTTAAAGGTTTTGATACATGTCAGTCACCAACCTAACTGTGTTTTGATTTCCCACTACAATTCTAATTCTATATTTTTTTGAAATACAATTTTTTTTTTTTTTTTTACTAAATTCAATATCTTTAATTAAATAATGGAATATATATATACCCAGGCTTTGTGAAACATATATTCTTATTAAACTTTGTAGGTATATTTTTTTATTTTTTGTAAAGATCTTTTAGATTTTGTTTGTAATGGTAGATATTGATAGATATTATTTTATTTTATTTTTGGAAGTTTAAATAGACCTTTGATTTAACAAAAAAAAAAAAAAAAAATGTTTATAAACATTTTAGTGATAAAATGAGTCAGAAAACACTTTTAGAATTTAAGCATGTGCGCAATGTGATATTTTAATCTAATTTAATTTAAAATTTTGTTTTTAATAAATTATACTTCTGTATTTACAGGTTATTAAGAAAAGATGGAAAAATAAGTAAATTTTTATTTATTTTAAGATAAATATAGTTGATTATTTGAATTATAATTTTTTTAATTAATTTGGGATGAATTTATGATGTTATAGTTATTAATTAATTATATTTAATTAGTTTATTTCTTCCATAGTTATTGAGATATTATCAATTTGTATAAAATAAAATTTTATTTTATTATTTCTAACATTTTCTTATATATTTTATTATTTATTACATTTTCTTTTAATGTCTTTACTAGGATATGATACATAAATAAATATAATTTGTTTTATACATCCGTATTTAAATTGTATTATTTAAAAGAAATTGAATTAGACTCATTTCCGAATTCCTTTTTCTTTTCTTTTTTTTGGTACGGAATTTTACCAACCATGTTAAATATAGCATTCAATAAATTGCCATTATATGAGGTTATAGTTTCAAATTCTGATTTAATTTTAACAAATTAAATCTATATGCTCATAATCAACCGATGGTTTGGCTATGAAAAGATACCAGAAAAACTCCCAGCAAACTTCAACCAGAAAGGAAAACGGCACGTGATGAATAGTGGTCCGCAGTTTAAAAACTATTAAGCAAGCTGTCAATTTGATATAATAGCATAGATAGTGTATGTATATTGATATATAAAAATCCTAATGGAAAACTCATTCCTTGAATCAAAATGCCAAAAAGATCGTCAAATAAATAACAAATCAAGTATAACATCGACAGACAATTTATTACATCAAGTAAAAGGAGGAAAACGACTGGGTTTACACTATCTTCCATTTCTGCTCCACGGCATTACAAACCCTTGAAATACAGTATGCTGCACTCAGTGGATAGTCGGAAACTGCAATATTTGGGAGCGAAGAATAAAAATAACAAACAATGGAATGAGAATAAGAAAGATGTACAAAGATCCATGATTATGATCAAGTATGGCAGACATGACGCAGCAATAAGAAAGAGGGAAAAAAAAAAAATACCATAATTAGCAATTTGTTAACACTAATCTACAACAAAAATTAGTTATCGATAAGAAAGGCCTCTGCGGAAACCCACGTTACAAGTATGCCATCAATTGTGTCCGCTCATCAAGTGTAGGGTTTGTTAGTTTTCTGCAATTTTAAATTATTCTGTTTCATGGTGCACATACCCATATCAACACGATGATGTGTCAACACGAGTTCCAAGATGCATGTTGTTTGCTAAAGAAAAGTCGACAAAAAAATAAAAAAATGTGATAGAAATGCATTAGAATCAAAAGGTTTTAAATTTCGTAGGACTCGATGGCTTTATGTCAGATATTGATAATATGATGATCACTCTACGAAATAAAGGATTAGCCAAAATAACCATTTTCAAAATTTATGATAAAGGGCAAACCCAGTGCATGAAACTCCCGCCATTGCGGGTTTGGGAAGGGTCACACGTAGCTTTACCCCCACAAAATTAATGATCAATAATAGAAAAGGATGATAAGTGAAATGGGGACATAATAAGTTGGAGCATCGTGGACAAAACGGAGACATGATAATGGTGTTTTATACGAGAATAATGTATAAATTAAAAGCAAAATTTTATGAAGAATTATTATGCCAACTATTTTATACGGTGCAAAGTATATAGGGCTTTAAAAAAAGAAACAATCACATGGCGAGAATGAGAACGTTAATATGAATGATAGGAGTTACTAAAAAAGATGAGGTTACTAACTAAAATGCAAGGGAGAAATTAAAAGTGGTGCCCAATTAGTGATAAAGTAAGATAAAGTAGACTTAGATACTATGAACATATACAAAGAAGACTTATAAATGCACTAGCAATACAAGGAAGACTAATTTGTATAGAAGGTAAAACTTAGAAGACTGAGCGGAAAACCAAAATTACGTGATAAAATCATTTAAAAGTAAAACATTATAAGAGAGATGACTTGTAATAGTAAAGAAAGGCAAGGGTGATGATAAAAATGTGTTAACATGAGTACTCCGACCACAAGACATGCATCCAAGTAATATAGGCAAAACAAAGTACTAAAAAACAACTGGTTTCAAGAGCTTTTCCTCATTTTTCTATAATTGCGTGAAGAAAAATGAAGTAAAAATGTCCAGTTCCCTCTGTTCCTTTTAATTTAGAAAGCAACCCTATAGTACAAAACTAGTTTAATAACAATCATTATTAACAGTCATTATCCAGTCCCTGTTCAACTAACGCATGGTGCTGGAATGCCTGTTTGGTTCTATTCACTCAAAATAATCTTTAGAAACTTTGAAAACGAGGAACAGTTTTTTAAAGAATTATGGAAGCTTGTCCTCTAAAATTGGACTTTTTAGACTCAATTCATATAAAAAAAAATCCATAAAACAGTCAACAAAACAAATTTTTTAACAATTTACTGGTTTTTCCCCCTCAAAGAGCATAAATATTCTCAGAATGCAGGTGACTTTTTGTACTACTTTTTAACTTGGACTTGTATTCTCATTCTCCAAGTCAAAAGACCTTCCCCTTCCATACTGGTCTTTATCAAAATTAAAAAGGCAAAACAATACGATATCTTGTACATCCAACTATAAAATACCAAGATTAGTATTTGAATAAGATAGTTTAGCTGCCTGCTCAACCACAATCCGACAGGTTCTATTGACTGTGTGGCGCATTGGACATGATCGTGTTTAACTCCTCTGATCATGAGTACAGCACATATTTCTGATGAGTTGGAGTCTATGGATTGTCTTTTGACATCCATTATGCGGATGGGAACAGGTAGGATTCTTTAAGGTGACTAACCTCGAAGAACAAAGAGTTTGCGGTTGAAACTCTATATTGGCCTCTGAGCAGTGAGGCTTACATACTTGAAGAATGAAGCTTTTGCTGTTGACACTCGATATTAGTCTCTGAGCAGCGTTTGGGGATCAAAGGTTCCACTGAAGATCTCATTCTTTGTTTGGGGGAAAGCCTTGTATAGGTAATTCGATTACAAGGGAAAATACCTTCTGAAATGGTGCTGCATGTGTGGGAGAGCTGAAAAAACAATCAATCATATTTTATTGAACTGTCCCGTTTTGAGGGACTTATGGTATAATCACTTTTTTTGTTGCATCCGGTGTTTCCAAATTGGTTAGTGATACAATTGCTAGCTGGTCATAGGGATACAACCATATGAGAGTGCAGCCTATTTGGGGTATGGTTCGTCTTATCACATTTGATGCATTTGGAGGATGAGGAACTAAGTAGCGTGCAATCCTGTAGACTCCAGTACTCCACATGCGCTTGGATTGCTCCCCCTCAGCTCTTTCATCAAATTCTTATTAAAAAAACGAAAGAAAGAGAGAACAAAGAAACACCGACCATAAACCTAAGAATACAACATTATTCTAAATTTCACAGGGTTCCCTACATGACGTTGTTGACATATTCAATAGACAGTAGATTACTTGGGACAAAAAATATTAATGATGGGTGTTTTCAAATACGTCCAGCAAATTAATTGACAATGCATATGAAATTCAATCAAAAGCAGTCCAAAACTAATCCACTATATATATTTTAGTAATAGATAAGTTCTTGATCTTTATTAGTCAATACACAAGGAACTAATTGCTTCGTTGCTTAGCACATACAATACTGAACAATAAAAAGTAACCACCTTCTAGACAGAATTAACAAATATGGTGAAACAACAGAGAGTGAAAATTAGGTAATACCTCTTTTTGTGCATGCTTTCTTAGTTATCTAAGTCAATATTCATGAAAGAGGAGAGAAAAAATAATTCAGAATTAGCTTACTTGATATAAAGTCGTCTACATATTCCTTATCAATTTTCCCATGGGCCATTGCACCAACCTGTGCGTGCATGAAATCATGTAAGATCCAAGTCTCAATCAGATATATGCAAGTATAAGACACAAATTAGTTTGGGCATACCACAAAAACGAGGTTCACATCATCATTAACAGCAGCTACATAGTCCCTCATATCAACCAACTTTTCTGAACTATGTGAGAAACCTGGCGTACAAGGCAACAATCTGATTATCTCTGATATTGATTGATTAATAGAGAACACAAAACATGAATGTTAACCTATTCCTACAGTCGAGTTATTGGGAGAATATAGAAAAATGATTGCTAACCTATTTTCTGAGAGTTGATGGGTAAATATTGGGTTACAGGTCCCTTGATCACACGCAAAAGCTTTTCACGCTTGCCAACAGCAGTTATACTAAGTTTTTGTAGCAGCTGCACTGCATGATTGTTAAAAGAGTAAAAAAAAATAGGCATAAAATGGTTCCTGAAAGGCAAAGAGAAGCACTTGACACTTGGTGCAATAAATAATTGCTTTGGGAAACCAGTAGAACTTACACATGATACCAGAAAACCTCTTATATGTCCTTGGAATACGAACATGCGGCTTAACTTCGAAAAGAACACCTTTATCCGTTCTAACATACAAAGCTCGTAGCCTCCCAGATTTATTTACTGGGCTATCTAAAATTGTTAGGATAGCCTGAAAACATCAATATTTAAATCATCATGGTCCAAAAAGTAGCCAATATAATGCAACTAAATAGAACCTTAACCCCAACCACAAACATGTAAATACAAAATTAGTAAACTAATCACTTTTTTTCCCCCAAACAGATTGCAACCAACTCAACTTGACAGAGCCATAAACCCGACTACAAATAAGCAAATTATGCAATTAATATTACATTTTTTTTCTTTAAAAAAGACTACTCAACAAAGCCTAAATCCCACTTGCAAAAAGTAGAACGGCTATAATAAATTCTGTAATCAATGATGAACATTTTCGAAATGATACTCAGATGAAAAAAAAAAAAAAAAAAAAACAGAAAGAATTTAAGATTTAAGCAAGGAAGGAAGTGCTGACAACAGACACGTATCGCAGTCTTGAATTGGCAAATTAGTTTTAGAGACATAAAAGTCAATGTGAAGCATATAAAGGCAGCCAAAGAATCAAAAGAAAATCAACTTTTCAATAACACTCTCAGGCCTGTAATTCCAAAGTTTACCCACCTGATGAGCAATGTCAGGCCTGTAATTAGCAGGATTCTCCTTGTTTCGTCTCAGGAAATTAGCGTGATCATCCGAGTTCAAAAGCTGGTAACTCTGTATAAATAGGTGTACACATTTACATTAGGGCCACTCGCCCAAGAGAGGCACATACTCACAGGGATTGCAATTCTTGACACTACCTATGAACATGACTCACATGCAATATGGAATTAGAAGTTTGAGTTAATCTTAATGGATTCAAGGTAAAAGATCGAACTGATCAACACCTATATTATACATAACATTGTAGCGGTTTAGTTATCAATACCATTATCAAGATCTGATCGATCTTTTTTGTAAAAATAAGAACATGAGATAAAATCCAAAAAAATTACTCTATCATGTAGTAAACAGGCCAATTTCTGATTCAGAAGAATGACAGGATTGGGTATTACCCAATCCCTAACTAGTGGAATAACCAATCCTTGACACATAAAAATGACATGGCTCCATACTATTGCAATCCCTAAAAAGAAATGCACACACACATATCTATATATCTATATATATATATATATATATATATAGAGAGAGAGAGAGAGAGAGTGCAAGAGAGTGGGTAGGAGTGAGAAGTTCATAATTTCAACATACCTTTCCAACTTTTCCAACTTCCAAAGAAGCCTTCTCAAGAATGAAAATAACCCCCGTCTTGGTGCTCTGATCGCATGGGACAATTGGAATACCAGCAAGTTCATGTACGACTTCCCCTGCTTTCTCCTCATCCGGCGTGGCAGCTGCTGTCTTTGATTTTTCTGTTGTTCCTGCTGTCTCCTCAACTACTTGTTCTATTTCTTCTTTCTCATAGTTCTCCTCTCTCCTCTTTCGCTTATGACCTTTTATTCCATAAGGCCGTACCATTCTCAGTTCACTTCTATCTTGAAGTTAGAAAGTTTTGCAAGAAGAAAATTAAATGATTAGCAAGAATGCAAGAAGAAATTATGAAACCAAGAAATTATGGCAATTTCTGTCAAATTCTATAGAACAAGTTCCCATTAAACAAGTTCCCGTCGTATAGGAGGTAAAACTATCAGCAGGTTCCCACTAAACAAGTTCTTCTATAAAAGTAAAATAATGTAGTTACATAGAACTCAATGGTTGCCCAAGTTTATGGAGTATGCTGATATCCAAAGCTTGTGAATCTTATTGGAAACACAACATTGGTGCTTCATAATAGAAAAATGAAGCAAAAGGAAAGGAATAAATTGTTACCAAAAAGCAAAAGTGTAATAAAAAGGGAAAAAAAGGGGGTATGGTACATATAAAGGTACTAACAAACATCTGCTACAGGAATGTTGTAAAATAAGCTTGGCTCTGTGTTATGAACTGCCATACCCCTTAGCTATGGCCTATAGTTCACATAACAACAGTGTCATTGTCATGACCAACCAAAAAGAATATGAAACCACCCATTTCGAAGGGGGAGGGGGGGATTTGAAACCAGATTAAGAAAGTCAAGTTATTAGACGATCAGTTTTGTTGTATACAACTTAATAGCAAATAAATGGAGGAATTGATATAAAGGTGCATCTGACTTTACAAAAATGCAACAAAACCATACTCATAATTTTTGTTAAGCAGAAGAAAAATCAGACGCAATGCAATAACATATATACACCTGACTGGTTGGATAACAACTGGACAATATGAATAAAATTACATTTTTTTCTTAAGTACAACCAATAGCTGGTTTGTCTATAACTGAAATAGTTTTAATTTAATGAATAAATTCTCTATTTGGTTTATCAGAAAGGTGAGGAAAATAGAAGAGAACATAATTTCAGAACCATATGTTTGCTGTGTTGGGCCCAATTCAGTGGATATTTATGCTTTTATAGAGATCAATAAATCTTAAATGTTTACTTTTCCTCCCATTTCTCTGAAGCAGTGCAAACCCACTGAAAAAGATTTATTGATCTGAATTAATTACCTAAGTACGACTGGGAATGAGTTTATTCAATCACTAGAATACTAACTTGCGGTTGTCAGAATCTGACATCCTCACCTTCTATTTGGTTGCTAAGCCAACTGACAAAAAACCAAAATGAAAAGGAAAAGAAAATTTTAATACTGAGTTCTATGTTACTTTAGTTTCAATTATGATTTATCAAAGGGAAAAGAATGGTGCAATATTCGAGTGCTTATTTATTTTCTTTTTAATCATGTATCAACTTTGCTTTAGACGAGGATAAATATAAGGAACTGGCCTGACCATAAAGTGGTAACCCACAGTACTAGGGGTGCACATGGTTCAGTTCGGTCCGCTTCTGGACAATCATTATGTTGGCAACAGTAGCCAATAGGGTGCAAACAGTTTGGTTCAGTCCCGTTCTGGGTATAGGGTCCCAACAATATTAGAACCAGAACCGGACCGTTGGAACTGTGGATCTGAATTGAACTGAACCGAATCATAGTTCAATTCAATTCCATGGTCCTAGGCGTTTTAAAATCCAGCCCAATTATGGAAGAATTAAAAGCCTTTAGCCCAAAATGAAATATATAAATTTCATGCTACAAGCTCTCCTTATTAATTTTGATTCAAGGGTTTACTAGCAAACATTCAGACACCTGACTTTTTGGTCCACTGAATTTACTAGCAAAGATACAAACTGAAGCAAACAGTGTTATACCACAACTAGCAAAATTCAAGGGGGAATTTCATGCATATGCTATAGTGGACAATGTTTACACAACTATAATAAGGATACAGCATGTATTGAAAAGTTATCAGGCATCAAGCATTTAGCCAAAAAAAGAAAAACATATATGTCTAAAAGCTGCAACTTTTGTGTACAAAATTATATAATTTGGAACTCAGACAGGGATCAATCGCAAGAGTAAAGACTTGCTTGCATTAAATGGGACTCGAGCAGCAAAAATTTAAGCAGGATATAGAGCGAAAAATAGGGGTGTGGTCGTCGCCTCTCCTGAAGAGCGGCGAAGGAAAGTTAAGGCTTGGTGGCTGAAGGTCAACGGCGGCGGTGGCATAGGGTAACTAACCTTGATGTCGCCTGTGGAGTCGAAACACGTTGCAGATGCAGTGCCAGAGGGGTGTTGTTTCAGATTCTTCCGGCTACGTTTAGGGTTTAGGGTTTTTGATCTAAAACCGTATCAGATATTAGACAGTCGATCTAAAGACTCACATGATACCTTGTTTTGGGCAAGTGGGCTACTTAATTAAATGGACAATGGACTTTATTTATAACATGGGCTTCTAAATGCTACAGAACTTATTGGGCTTCTGAATGCTACAGAACTAATTGGGCTTCTAACTTGTATATGTAGGTTAGGCTTTAAAGTAATAATTTAAATAAAATGTATATTTATTTACACGAGTTTGGTAATCATGAGCCCAGCATACCTAAAAAATGATCCCCAACTTGGATCATTTATCAAACGAAACGAATCCCGAGTTGAATTCAGCTATTCACAAGCACCTCATTTCATTAATAAATAAATAATCAATTCCATATGTGTGATAAACTTTTCACTCTACAAAATGTGTCACACACACACACACACACACACACACACACACACACATATGTTTTTAGTGATATTTAATCACATGAGTTGTATGAATGTTTACTTCATAATGTTATATTCTCCCTATATAATGTTGCATCATTGATTTCATGTATTGGTGGTCTTACTCGTCTTGATTTGTACATTGAGGGCATTTTTTAGTGGTCTAGTTGGTAAAAATAACCAACTTTCTAAGTGAATGTGTCTATCTTCAGTATGAATCTATAATATTTCTTTCTTCACTACAATCTTAACCTAGAAAGCACATGCACTTCAACAAAGGAGTCGTATTCGTGTCGGATACCGACAATCTTCCGACATGTGTCCGACACTTCATACACATATCCATAAATAATAATTAAAGTTTTTTAGTTTGGACACTTAGTAGACACTTAGCCTATAGTTTTTGGGCACATAGGCAGACACTTTTTTGACATTTCTAGCATAAGTCTACCCGATAATTTTAAAAATAATATGAATAGTTTAACTTTTTCTTTAAGGAAAATTGGCATTATACATATGATATTTGTCATAAAATGATATTTGTTTATTTAAAACAAAAATATTATTAATACAAAGTAGTAAAATAAAAGTGTATATTATATAAAACCCATTACAATAATGACATAATTTCATATTCTAATTCTTTTTAGAACAACTCTTGGTATAGAAATTATAAATGAATTAAAAGTTTTATAATATTATTACTCAATAGATGTATAAAAATAAAAATAAAACATTTATATGTAGCTGTGTCCAATTTATACCCTTGTCTTATTTTTTAAAAATATTTGACATGTTGACGTATCCATGTCATATAGTGTCCGTGTCCTATGTTCGGTCCGTGCTATACATATATCCTAACCAAGAGTTAAAATTATGATTGATAGGGAAAAATAAACCTAATCTACCTTGACCAAACGATAAAGGTAACTAAGTGTTGACTAGCCGCTACACTTCCTCCAAGGTTCGAACGATGATCTTTCTATTGGATAAGAATGACAATATTTCATTATCAAGGATAATGAAAGATAACGTGGTTCAATAGGGTAAGGATAATCTTGGCATAATTTGAGGAAGTTAAAGGGGTAAATCATATTCCCAACAAATCTGGCAACAAACGGATCTCATCTGATTTTGCACAAACGGATCTCATTTGATCCCACAAATGAACTGAGGGAGAGCGACTATAAGAAGCGGAAATCCTACCAGTCAACAAAGGTACGTCAAAAAATGATTATTAAATCCCTGCCTTTCTTTTAAATCTCCGATAACTGACTTGATCGTCGAAGAGCTATTGGCAGGCACCACACCGGTGCCGTCAAGATTCATCGATCTTCTATTCTCTTATTTGCAGGAAAACGGTGTCGTATCGGACCGCGTGGATTTCTCCCTCAACAGTTGGTGCCGTCTGTGGGAAACGACGATTCCCTTAAATCAATTAGTTACTCAGTTGAGTTTATACACTTGCGGTCCGGTATGGTAACTGGAACAGAAACATTGTTGCAGGGATCCAGTCAAAGAGAAGGGTCGGGTGAACACCCAAACATCTCGAATAACCAGGAACGGCTTGCAGCGTTAGAATTACAGGTCCAAACTCTGAATTAAGGTATGAACCAGTTGATCCAACAAAATGCAGAGATCTTACAATATCTTATCCCAGCGGGACCACCACTTCAACAAGAATTGTCCGACCCATATCCTCCAAATTTGAATGATAGGGGACAACACGAGGAGGGCCGATAAAACAATCCTCCTCACAAGTTTAAGGCAGAACAAAGCCAAGTCGGAAACCGACACAGAGAACCTCCTTCCCTGCCTCCGCGAAATCCCCAGCCTCAAACAAGCACAACCTTCTTTGTTAAGGAAAAGACAGAAAGTTACCTATTTCGACCTACAGATCGTACAGATCGAGGATCTCAAGGCGAAAATGGAAGATGTAATGCAAGTTATGAAAGGGAAAGGTCTTATCGCCATAGATGACCTGGTGCAGAGGACCCACTTGCTGTTCAGCCCCACCGTTATGAAATGCCCCTTGCTTAGCAAGTTCAGGATGCCCTCGTTCGAAAGCTTCGAAAGGACCAAAAATCCCCTCGATCACCTAGAGACCTTTCAAGCTCTTATGCATTTACACGCCGTGCTAGATGAAATCATGTGCCGAGCTTTTCCCACTACACTTAAGGGATCGGCAAAAGTCTGGTTCAACAAGCTGAAGCCAGGAACCATCAACACCTTTGAAGAACTGAGTAAGCAATTTGTGAGCCACTTTATTGCAGGTTAGAGGCATAGGAAGCCGGCCACCTACCTGCGTACCGTTAAGCAATAGGAGTGACGAGTTGAGTGAAACTCATAAAATTTATTCCCTTGCCAAAGGGATGGGTTGACTGAAACTCACAAAGTTTACAACTAGTATATTGGATGTTCAAAAGAAAAATCCAGTTTTACATCACTAAGAGTCATTAACCATGGGTTTAAATCCATGCCCTTTCAAAACAGAACCTTAATTTGGTATCTGTATTAATTCCACCATTGGGAATTGTACCCAAGGGAACATTACCCAAGGGAAGAGTACCCAAGGGTAATGTAAAAAATAAAAAAAAATAAAAAAAATACCTTACCCGCTGGAAGAGTGCCCAAGGGAAGATTACTCAAGGGAAGAATACCGAAGGGAACATTACCCAAGGGAAGAGTATCCAAGGGTACAAAAAAAAAAAAAACTTACCCGTGGGAAGAGTGCCCAAAGGAAGATTACCCAAGGGAACATTACCCAAGGGTACAAAAAAAAAAAAAAAAAAAATTGTTTAAGTGAACAGTACCTGCGGGCACTATTCCCGAGGGAAAAGTGCCCAGGGCAAAAAAATAATAATAATAAATAAATAAAATTACTATTTAAGTGAACAGTACCCGCGGGCACTATTCCCGATAGTGCCCAGGGCAAAAAAAAAAAAATCACATTTCCAAAGCTAGACGAGCAAGCTTGGGAATGGGGTGCAACTGATAGGGAAAAATAAACCTAATCTACCTTGACCTAACGATAGAGGTAACTAAGTATTGACCAGCACTTCCTCCGAGGTTCGAACGATGATATTTCCATTAGATAAGAATGATAATATTTCATTATCTTATCAAGGATAATGAAAGATGACGTGATCAACAGGGTATGGATAATCTTGGCACAATTTGAGGAAGTCAAAGGGGTAAATCATATCCCCGATAAATCTAGTAACAAACGGATCTCTTCTGATCTTGCATAAGTGGATCTCCCCTGATCCCGCAAATGAATTGAGGGATAACGACTATAAGAAGGAGATCCTACCAGTCAATAAAGGTACGTCAAAAACGATTATTAAATCTCTATCTTTCTTTTAGACATCCGGTGACTGACTTGATCGTCGGAGAGCTCTTGGTAGGCACCACACCGGTGCCATCAAGATTCATCGATCTTTTACGCTTTTAGTTGTATGAAAACGGTGTCGTATCGGACTGCGTGAATTTCTCCCTCAACAATAATAATAATAAATAAAATAAAATTAACTAGTAGCACCCATTATCTCTTGCACACAGAGAGAGAAGAATTCCATTGGTACGGTGTCAAATTAAGCCACCATTAATTCAAGCTATTAATAAATTTAACCACCTAGTCACGAAAATTATTATATGGTCTCGAGACGATTGGATTTGGACTAATCATTATTGAATACATAAGCCATTTGTAAACTTTATTTAACTTTTTATTCAAATTCCAATGGTGATTGGCCGGGTCGAATGGTGCCCGACCATTTAAAATTAGGGTGAAGTGCAGAAAACACCCCTATACTATGTTTACAGTGCATATCACACCCTTCACAAAATATTGATTTTGTGTAAATAAGTCCCCCTCACAAATTTAAGTTAAAGTTTGCTTAAATTACCCTTTATGAGACATTTTATAAATTATTTTGTAAAATTATAGAAAAAGACACAAAATGAAAACCTCACAGCATTGCTCCATTCGCCCACGTGACAGCAGCCATTGGCCTGAGTATTTTTTAATTTTTTTTTAAATAATTGGGTCTCCTTCTCGAGAAATTATTAGATGGTCCTGGTCCATTAACACTTGGTGGACTAGTTTAATACAGACTCTCGGATTGAGAAAATGGGTTCACAAGAGTGTATTAATAAATTACAAAGTTTCATGATCGGAGGGTTCTCATTGAATTAGTCCACCAAGTGTCAAATAGACCAGAACCATCTAATAATTTCTTTTCCCCTCTTTCTCTTTCTAACCGACAGTCACTCCAATGACAACAAATACGACGGCCAGAGATAACTTTGGCAACATTGATGAGACAACGAAGAAGGGGACAACAATGCTAAAGATGGCAGCGATTTAAATATGGACACGCTGAATGGGGCGACGAATGCTTGATTTTCTTATCATGGACTGGTGTTTGAAGAGTTTGGTATACGTTGAAAATGACAGGACTAAAAATGAAGTGAAGAATGGATCTTTAAGGAAGATTTTGTTCCCTACGGGCAATGTATTAGACTTGATCGGCGACGATATGGGAAAAATGTTAGATTGAAGCCATTGCAGTGAGGTGCTCACAGTGCCAATCGAATCGGGATTGGTCAGAGACAATCTGGGTCAGTTCACTCATGAGCTTAGAATTGGATTCGATATCGAGTTCGTTTCGATTCAAAACTTTGAATTCTTATCGTTCAAAGCAATCAGACTCATGGGTGGTGAGAAAACAATCCTTATTTTATCTCTGACAATCCTCTGGCCTATGGATGCTGGAATTTTGACTGATCTCTAGCGAATTTCACTACATGTGATGGTGTACGAGGACAACGAAGGATTAATAGATGGTAAAATGTTATTGTTGCGTGAGTAAGTCATCAACATGATTAAGTTCTACTCAACGGTGTTGGAGTCTCTTAATGGTGGCGGCGACAACATAGACGATTGGGTTAGAAGGATTGAGACATTTCTACTGCGTCCGGAGATTTTCTCAACGTGGAGGTGGCTGCAGGAAGGAATGCGACCAGGGGCGGAGCTATTACTAACCTCTAGGTTTTAATTAATTTATAAATACAACCCCTAAAAATCATTAAAAATTTTAATTCACCCCCACACACCCCATTTTTTTTCAAAACAATTACATATTGACCCAAAATAGAGAGTTTGAAAATTAGCCCCAAAATAGAAAGTTTGAAAATAATTTTGTATGTGTCTTCTTGAAATTTAAAAAAAGTTATACTTGAACCTTTTAAACTATGCTTTTAAAAGCTCGAATATTGTGAATAAACTCATTATTATTATAATTGTTATTGTAACACATTGTTAATTTATTTACATATACACATGTACAATATCTATAATATTAATTCAAGGGAGAAAAAAAAGGGTAACAAATCATTAATGTTCCATCATGTTTAATAAAAAAGTTTCCAACATTTTTTGTCAAACATTTTTGTATAATGATATCTACAATATATATATATATATATATCTAGAATTATATAACAATCTTTATTGACATCTTGTTTAATTTAAAATTATTTTATTTAGTTAAAATTCATTTTTTTTTCTTTCTAAAATTTCATCTAGGTATATCTTTCCCAAGTGAAATCAAAGTACGTAGAATTTTTTATTCCAAAAATTAGATTTTGAAAAACTGAAACAATTGATGAAATTTTTTTAATTCTCTTACAATACTTATTTTTGTACATCTTCTCTTTTAAATTGTAATTCATCGTTTTTTCTCTATATTTTCCTTTCTAATTTCAAATTTTTGTCTATTATTAAGTTAAAATTTTCTCATTTTTGATTTTTTTCAAAGTTATACTACAACTAGTATTTATAAAAAATCATATACAGGTAGATTTATAAAATTTTCAAACTTTAGTTACATAATACAAATCCGCCCCCCAACCTAAAATTTCTGGCTCCGCCCCTGAATGCGAAGTCGTGGAGGGAGGTGTTTGTCGGCCTGAGAATGAGGCCAATGGTGTTGAGTCGGTTTCTGGCGACTGTGGTGGTCAGACCTTGATGTGCGAGAGCGAAGGCTCTCTGGTTCGCAAAACAAATCCCAGCAAATGATAGGATCTGATGTGGTTGCACCACGTGGTCCCAGTATGCTAAGATCAAGTATGGGTGTATGTGGGCGAGTCCACTTTGATTTGGGTCTGACCCAAATTGAAACATGCCAACCCATCAAGAAAAAAACATATACACAAAACTTCTTTGGGCAATTTCGGAATAATAAAAAGGCAAAATGGACATTACAACATTATTTTAGGTCAGATTTCTATTTGAGGAGTATTTTCGCACAATTTTAAAAGATTAAGGGGGTTATTTGCACACTTTTTTAAATAGTGGGTAAAAGTGCTACTAGAAGTATACATTAAGAGTGTTTTGTATCTCTCTCTTTAAAATTATCTCCCTGTTCACATCATCGCCAAAATTATCCTATCCACTGTCATTGTTTCAAATCCCAACAAATTCTTGTAAAAACTAGTAACTAATTCAAAACTTACATGCTATGCTGCCAGTAGAACAGTAGAAGCCAAAAGATATCCCTTAATTCCAACTGAATTTTCATTCCAAATTCAGTTATGAGATGCACATATAAAAAAATTTAAAAAATCACAATAATGCATATATATATATATATATATATATATATATATATCATTGGCAACAAACACACCAACCACTCACCTATCCATTTTACCCTTTAGTTATATAGCTTTTTGTTTCATTGAATGTTCACATATAGCATACTCAACTATATTTGACAAACCTATATTTATTCCACAGAATGACAATCACAGTTTAAATCCTCTTATTTGATGAAAGTATTGTTTTGTACTATATTCTCTATGTAATGCTATACAAAATATGCAACCTTTAGTTGCATCCTATTCTACCACTCCCAACTTAACAATTTTTATAAAGGGAAGTAGCAGACCATCCTAGAGATGTTACAAATTTACATTCTGCTTACCATTTCAAAGAATCAACAAATGTAACAAATCTATTAGGTCCAAAGAACGAGCTCCAATGCCCCTTCAATTTCAACATGCCAGTGCCTCAAATTTGAGGCAGGCAACATGAACGTAATGTATTTTTGTAGTCAGCTACTGAAATGCTGTTGCTTCTCTCAGAGTAACTATTGACTTCCTTTGGCTCCGGTTTTTGAAGAGTCTCCGGTGCCAGTCTTGCTGGAATTACTTTCCATCTTCCGTGGTCTACGGTTTGATCTGGCTCGCTTTTTAACCTTGGGGAATGATGGCCCTCTCACTTTGTCACAAATTGTCCCTCTCTTCATAGCTGTTCCAACATCAGCCTGGACATTGTTTTTCCTAAGACTTCTTCTCAGTTGCATTGACTTGGTCTCAGTATCATCTTCGTATGCAGTAGTTTGTGCAGTACGTCTTCCTTCACGGTCAAGCTTGTTCCATCTGTCAAGCTGCTGCTGCTGATGATAAACAGAGGTCTGTATAAATTAGTTAACACTTCAGTTTGTCTGTATTTAAGAGTAAGTAGTTGAACAATATTTAGTCATCCCAAAAGGACAGTCATCTCTAAATCATAAAAGCATACAAACATCAAAATGTATGCATTAGTCATATGCTGTTGCCCAATAATCATTTGCTACATATTTTGATTCCTCACAATGATGTTAGGTGGTCTTTATAGAATATAAACCTTTTAGAGTATAACCACACCAATCTACTGTTCTGAGAGCTTTGGAGTAGTGATTTTCTTCAAAGTATTTCTTATTTTCTATGACAGAAACTCTACAAGCAATCCATCTAATTGTCATAATAGTCACAATTCTAAAATATACCGTACTGATATATATGTATTTAGATTAGCTGAGAAATTCAGATAGAGTACTTCGCCTCTGTTGATAATATATCGGAATGCTAAATGATACAGGATTTCAAACAATGTAATAAATACACAGGTTCTAGCTTTCAAAAGAACAAGGGTTTGACACAGCACAAGGGAAGGGAATGAGAGAGATAGACAGAGAGCGCAAGACACGAATTTAGAGATAGAAAATTAACTGCTTGAAATACCAGAAAGAGATCCATACTGTATTGAGGGTCAATGCAAATTTACCTCACAATATGGGGTGTATTCATCTTTCGTCCAAGGGATCATGTTCTGCATCCACAAGTCAGTGTCACATTTTACTTGTTGCTCAACCTTCTGTAATATTCCTTCTTCCTGCTCAAATTGTTTTGCTAAAGCTTCCATTTCTGGTACATCCGCTCTTATGAAAAGAAAAAGCTTGTTCCCACATGGGCAGTTACAGGACTCTACCACTGCATTGCAGATTTGAAATCTTAAGAAATAGCAACTAAATTATTGTTATGAAGAGTTAGAAATAACTGCATTGAAGTTGCATAGAATTTAACACCTAAGTTTATTGATTTAAATGGATTCCCAAAATATTATTCATTGAAATCCTTGCATGATAACAATTTAAAGTTATCATGCAATGAAAAACAAAAGCACCAATTGGAACTAAACAAACTGAAAGAACATAAATTCAGCAAAAGTGCTACCGTGGAAAAGGCAAATGGGATTGATATAGCAGTTGCACGTGATGTGTGCCACGTAGCAGTCCCGTTTGCAGAGGCTACAAAAAATGGTTCCTTGTGAATCTGGAGAAACACTCAGTGATGGTCTTAATTTCTGTAGACACCAACGGGCACAATGATGCAACCGCATCAGGCATGCAAAAGAAACCTTTACACAATTGAGAGAGGTTGGATGTGCAAAGCAATAATCTTCATGATTTAAGGACTTTGAAAGAAGCATTGCTTCTTTACAAACAAGCTCTTCATAAGAAACAATTGGCATCCTTCTGAGAAGCGCATAACGCTTGGTAGCAGCTGCCCCAAATGAAAACCAGTCATCAATAGCAAAGTTAACTGCCTCACCACAGTTAAAGCCTGAAAATGCACAAGAAGAAATGGGTAATATAAGTACATATGCCTTTGTGTGCATGCATGCTGCTAGAGGGGGGAAGGGAGACTTAAACATCAAATGTTTACCATGACTAAATCCCGCATGATATGATTTGGGAAATGTGATTATAAATTCCCCTGGCAATTGCACAGCTCTATAAACAGGGACATCATGTTGTAGCAAAATATTTGGAGGAAACATTGTTGTTTTCTCCACAAGCACAGCGAAAGCTTCATTTTCTCCATCAATTGATAGGATATCATGACTATAAACATAATGTTGTACAACTTTCTCAAATTCGGGAGCTGCATTGCCAGGAACTCCATACCATGTTTTGGGTGCCCCACAGTGATGATAATTGATGCTGAAGGAGGAATAATTATAATATATGAAAAACAGGTTAGAGCAATAAAATAAGATAAAGACATTAATAAAACAAAATATACCTGTACAAGTAATGATCCTCCACATGCCATGCGAACATACTAAATAGCATTCCAATGTAAAGCATGGGATCTGTTATTCCCTGGAACAGACAGAAGTTATGGCTAAGCTCAAACCATAAGGTTAAAATATAAATTCAGCAAACGCAATGTAAATTAGTACATTACCGGAATAGCAGTTTCCAGCAAACGCAATGTAAATTTGGGCAGCCGTGGAAGTGACTGATATTAAAGCAAAAAAAGAGAAAACAAATAAGATAATAATTAAAAAAAAAAAGAAGTATGCAAATGCAGTCACAGAGATTTACTCTCCGATCCTGATAATCAATTGAAGCCACAAGGTAGCAGTTAAAATCATTTTGAAAATATGGAAAACAGTTAACAGCGTGTTTCAACACATGCAGATACATATAAGGCTAATTGGTTTGAGAGAGTGAAACAGATAGAGAGGCACAAAAAGAGGGAAGGGGTATGGAGCAGAATGTAGAAGAAAGGCTTTAATCGAAGCACAAAAACAAGAAAAATAAAAAATGGTGTAGTTAAAACCTTCAAGTTCCATTTGCTTCTTCCAAGCTGATCATCAGGAGCACATGAAAATGCACTACCATCCACATTAACTCCATACTCAACTGTTCCTTTCTTACCACAGGCCATTTCGCTCCAAAATTCCCTTTCCAAGTATGCAGAAGGAAGACATCCAGAAATACAATATCTACGAGCATATACCTTGTTTGCCATGTTCTCAAAATCACGGAGGGTATACTTTCTGAAAGATAGCCATAATATCAAAATCATGGAGAGTACAATTTCTGAAAGGCAGCCATAATGCTAAACAACTATAAACAATCACTCATGCAAAATACTGAGCATCGCGTGGTTAACATTTTAGAAGGGGCAAATGACTAACATTCTGATAGACTTTCGTCTTCTAAAAGCCAAAATCAAAGTGATTTTTCTCTCAAAACAAGACGAGAAACCTTACTTAGTTATGTTTTCTGGAACTTACTTTCCTTTCGTGAAGAAGATGGTCTTGTCATCCATATTCCATTCAGCAAGCCGGAGAGGTTGCACTGTACTTGCAAACCTAAGACCTTTTTTCTCATTTTTTAGCACTACACCGGTTGGAACGGAAGAAATCAGAGGAGAAACAATCTTGCAAATGCCTGAAATTCAGCAATATAACATTTTAATACAATGAAAATAATAACAAACACCACACTCTAAAACATAATAATCATGTGTTTGACAGTACTGAATGTGACTTTAAAAAGAGTATAAAATATCTGGCTGAGCAAAAAGAATAAAAACAGATGGTTAATTTTCACGTCATATAAAAATGTAATTGTTACTATATTTTAACAAAGACTTACAGATTACAGCTGATAAAATACGATAAGCTCATCTACTGAAACCCCACACATTCTTCAGTTAAAAAGAGTTCCAACAAGAACACAATTAACTCACTTCAAGCGACAACAGGCTGATTCAATTTCCACTGAATATCACGAAGGCACATCCAAGTCAAGGCAAATATTCAGGGCTAACTTTTCACTGTATTACGTAACACAATGGCACCTTAATATATTATAGACAAGAAAGACTTGAGCTATTGTCATACCATAGTTTGAAGCTTCTGGAGCAATATTTTGCAGATAAACTAGAGGGTCCTCAAAATCCCCCTTTGATGGACGATATACAGGACACTCGAACATTTTCTCTATCCATTCTAAATCAGTTGTATCGACTTTGCATTTTGAAGCGGAGCCTTTTTCAGATAAAGCACCGCGTGACTGAGAAAGTGAATATGCCTCACTACTAGCTCTCATCCCACATGAAGCAGGAGCTTTCAAAGCCTTTACACTCCTAGTAGATTTCACATTCACAACATCAGGAGCTGTCACAAATTCCATCCTTGGAAGCCTTTTATGCTTTTGTTTCAAATGCCTAGCAAAAAACCAATCATCTTTGTTAAACAGCATTAATCTGCTACCAAACACTGCATAATAATATAGAATTTGTAGTAGAATTATGGGGCATGCATTTATATGTTACCAGAATATTCAATCAGAGTCCTTTGAAAGTATTATCGCATTCTAAACGAGTTTGTTTTTCTTCCTTATAAGTAATACTATCATGCATGATCATGATATAATTCGTTTCCCTTTACCATAATTGGTTGAGGTGCTAGGGTTTTCAATATTCTTTTAACTGGTCCCATTTTGAATGGTAAATAGTATGCTTATAAATGCTGAGGGAAAAAAAAAAAAAAATGGACTTCTTTTATGCCTCCCTCAATGTTCTGTGATTGAGGTCAAACCGTCAAACAACAAATCTTTGTTCATTAACCTAAAATAATCAGTAGTACTTCAAGGGATCAAACTCAGCATCCTCGTAATTCGAGTATAATATCCATTGCATGGTTTTAAATGCGGAAGGTCAGATATTTGAGACAAACACCAAGAAAGAAATAATTACATGGTTTGGAGGAGGTAAAATAATCCAAAATGGGATCTCCCAAAGTTATAACTCAAACAAACACAAGATTAATATGGATGAAATTCAAAGTAAAGTTGCTTAGAATCAACCGAAATCAAATACTACTAGAGAATTAAAATTCAACCAGTTTAATTTCTTTAAGGTTTCCAGTGTTCACTAATTCAGAAAATTTCAGATCAACATACATTTATACATATAATTGTTATATATTATTCAGTACATTTTTTATAGTATTAATATGTGGCACTGATTCAGCATTAGGTCAAAATAGAATTGGGGCAAAATGTTTTTTTTTTTTTTTTTCAAAATTCATATATTTCTGATAAGCAAATTCAATAAAGGAAAGAAGAACGCCAGAACAAGGAATCAACAAAAGCTTCCATAAATCGGTCAAGAAAACCCGAACAATGTCCATGGGATTAGAACATAACATTTCGAAATTAATTACAGAAACAATAATTAGAAAGTGCCAATAAGACGATCAAGAATGCTCATCAAAAAAAGAAAAAAGAAAATTACAATCAAGAATAAAGAAATTTAGAGAGAGAGAGAGGAATACTCTCTCGTACGAAGCTTTCCGGGTGTGTTCAGTTCTTGTAATCGAGAATGCAGAGATCATCAACCACCGAGAACAAATCGTAGTAAACGGAAGAGTGGGATCATATACCAGTGAGACGAGAACTTAGGTGAGTATTTGACAAAAACAAAGAGAATTCTAGAGAGAGAGAGAGCAAGAATGATGAAGAAAATAAACAACACAGACACAGAGAGAGAGAGAGAGAGAGAGAGCTCTTCTATCCAAATTCAAATGTGTGATTGTGTGTGAATATATAGGGTTGTTTCGCCGACCGTTAGTACTTTGACAATGTAGTGACCCGTCTGAACCCGGTTCGCTCTCCATGTGTTATCGTGAGTATGTAACTCGGCCCATTCATATTCGAATTAAAATTGGCTTCGGAACGAGCCCGAACTGCTTATGTTAGGCCTGGCCTGAAATAGGTTCGATGTGAGACCGGAAAAGTAGAGAATAAAACTTCCATGTGGCATAATAATAACAGAACTATTTTGAATTAAAAATAGGGTAAAGTGCAAAAAAACCCCCTAGACTATACTCTATCTCCTTAAAAACCCCCCTGAACAATTTTTTGAACAATTAACCCCCTGAACTATTTTGTTTTTTGCAAAAATGACCCACTTGTAGCCTTCCGGCCATTTGTTACCGTTAAATATGCATATGTTGCTAACGTGACATGCCAAAAATATGAAAATGACGAAATTGCCCTTATCAGTATTATAATATATTATGCTTGGATTTATCCCCAATTCAGACTTCTGTTTGGCATTTGGAACCCTAAAGCCTTTGTATTGCAAATCGGTTTCTCTCGCTCTATGTATAAAGTGGTTCGATTTTGATTATCTGCAAGGTGGTGAAGATTCACAAAGCAAAGTAGTGTAAGTTACCCACAAACTCTAGTTTTGAATCTGAATATAGGTGAAATTTCTTCGATTTAAAGTGATAGAAACGAAGGTGGTGTTGAGCAGTGTTTAAGCTTTCTTGATCTATCCTCCTCTGTGTAGTTTTCACTCTATAGGTGGAATTTGTTCAATATACAGTGAGAAACGAAAGAGTTGTTTACCTTTGTTCAAGCTTTCTTAATCTCACCTTTCTGTATTGGTTTGGTATAAGCTCTGTTACGTTGTTGAGGTATGTTGCAAATTTATTTTCTCTTTATAGGTTTTGTTCTCTTTCTGTTTGAATATTTTTGTGTACAGGTTTTCTTCCTCTTGTGTAAGATGATTTCAATGTCCGACCTATCCACGTCTGCAAATCGAAGGGTTTTGTACAATATGAAATGCAAATGTGGAAGAAAGGCTGCTGTATTCATTTTGGATTCTGAGACTAATCCGGGGAGGATATATTACAAATGTGCGAATGGAGTTTGCGGACTATGGGAATGGTCTAATCCACAAGCATCACAAGCAGGGCCCCTATCAGAAGAAGGACCACCACCACCACCACAAACAACACCACCACCACCACCACCACAAGCAATAGTTGTAGGAACAGGACTACCGATAATCAATGTAGTTGCTTCCTTACTATTTATTGGGAGCATTTTGTTTTTCTTGTTATCTATTGTGGTGTTGATTATTGCGATGATGCTAAAGAGGTGTCTACAATCAATATGCCAGAGATTGTTTTGGTTTTCTTGGAGGAGTTGATGTTTGGTATGGTGCTTGGTGCTTTTGGAGTTGATGTATAGGGTGTAGTAGTATGTGTTCAGGCTAACTCATGTATGAGGGAAAGTAGCAAATTTGATGTTGTATTATTGACCATGTAGTAATAAAAGTTGTTTTTGTTCCTACAATTGTGTTTTAGTGTGTGCATTGTGTTGTTTCAGTTCAGAAGCTCTAAATACATCATGATTTGCAAAATCATCCTGCAAATTGGTCATATATTCCATCATCAATAATAGTACACAGAAGATACTAATAAAGTCATTAAAAGATTGCATATAAAGGTTGCATACATAGAGGTTGCATACATAGTCATTAAAAGGTGCCTCCTGAGCACACTAAGTCATTGAAAGGTGCATCCTGAGCACAGTTACATTACAATACCAAAATATGAAGACTAAATTAGTTTGTAGAACCAAAATGCCCTAAGATTGCATCACAACAATTGTAAAAGAACCTTTTAACCAAAAAAATGCTTGATAGCCTTAAGATAACAAGCCACAATAACCTAAATACTGCATGTTCCTGACACTAACCAAAATATTACAACATAGCAACCTAAATATTTCATCATATCAACCTAAATACTGGATGACAGCAACCAAAATACTGCATCATAGCAACCAAAATACTGCAGCAAAGCAACCAAAATGCTTCATCATAGCAACTTAAATACTGGATGACAGTAACCAAAATACTGCATTATAGCAACCAAAATACTGCATCACAACATCAAAAACCCTTGACACCCAACAACTTCCTATTCACCAACAAGCATACTCACTTCCCTCATCATTCATCAATGACCTGTAATTATAAAACAAGTGTCATACTTGGAAAATAGACACTAACATAGTCAGTCATTATACATAATAAGATAGTTAGTCAGTATACTTGGATAATGATGCTTGTGTGTCAACCAACTAAGAAAATGGAATGTTGTGAACCTGTAATGTTTAATAAGAGTTTAAATTAGTATTAATGCCAAGTATCAACACCTTTGACAATAATAATTTAATTCATTTACCTCTTGAGATTGTCTAGCTTCCACTGAAGGCCCACCCCATAGCTGCACTGTATGCCCACCACCACCACCTCTTGGCCACACAACATGTCCACCTCTTGCCTGAAATGAACCACTTCTTGGCTGCCTTGAAGTACCATTTCTTGTCTGCCTTGAAGCACCACCTCTTGCATACATTGAAGCACCACCCCTTGCTTGCACTGATTCTTGTGACTCACCATATTGAGAAAATGTAATGTTTGTAACCTGCAAATACAAAATGAGTTAGCACACATAATAATTTATTTTTTTATATATATTTTTTATAAGTAGCACACATAATAAATTACATCTAAAAATTAACTTAGCTACATCTTAACAATATTTACCTCTTCATATTGAGTTGGCTGCACCCAATGTGTATCTGAATTACCCCTTGCACCCCTTTTACCAACCCTTCCACTTCTTCTACCATAAACAGTTCCTCTATTAGCTAATGGTGGTCTTCCTCCCCTTTTTGGTGGAAGTTGCTCAACCACTATTGGCTCATTCACTTTGCATGTTCTTGTATTGTGGCCATACTCATTGCATTTTGAACGTTTCAAAGCTTCCCTTGACCTAGTCAGTTTGGTTGAAGTACTTGCCTCATCATTCTTTTTGTTCCTTGCCTTTTTAGGTCTACTAGTTGGTTTCCTATAGGTTGGAGGTTCCAAAGGGTCAGTGGGTTCTGAATTTAAGAGTCTTCTCATAGGAATGGGATGTATCAAATCTGCATACGCCTTCAAATAAGTCTCCCTGTGATAGTATGGATCAACATATATCTCAACAGCTTCTCTTCTTACAAACATGCATGCAATAACATGATTGCAAGGGATGCCACTAACTTCCCATACCTTACAAGTGCATGTGTTATTCCCAATGTCCACTGCATCACTAACTCCTCTGCATTCCACCTCATATTTATGGTAACCAGCATAACGTACCTTACAAAACCTTGCACATCTTTTCCTTTTATCTATTTCTTTTTGAATTTCTGGACATAATAACCCAGCCTTTGAATTCATGAAATCTCTCTTATTTTGGAATCTCGTCATGAGATGCTTTCGAATCCATTCCAACATGTAGAGTATAGGTTTGTCTCTTGCAGGAAGAATCACTGCATTCCAAGACTCACACATGTTGTTTATCACCAAAGGGCATTTACAATGAAAACCAAAACTAGACCTTGTCCATACCCTTGGTGGCACTCTATTCAGCCATTGATAAGCTTCTTCATTCATCTCTCTGATCTTATTCATATGAAACTGAAAATCCACATATGTATATGATTGTGATGCTTCCCATATCTCATTTTTCAATGCTTGTCCCCTATATTTGAGCTTGAAATTTTCATAGAGGTGTCTCACACAAATCCTATGTTTAGCCCCATATAAGATGGTGTCAAAACTATCTACCAGCCCCTGAAAAAAAAAAAAAAAAAAAAAAAGAGAAAAAAAAAACATAAAATTAACTTCAGTAAGTAATGTAAAGTGATATTGGAAAAAAAAAAATTAAAGTAACCTACCTCCTAAGTGTACAAAAATTTAAGTCACTTCAAAGTGTAAGTAATGTAAACTGGTATTGAAAAAAATTAAAGTAACTTCAAACTGTAAGTAATGTAAATTGATATTGAAAAAAAAAAAATTCAAGTAACCTCAAAGAATAACTTAAAAAAATTTTGAACTGTAATTTAAAAAAATTGAAGTACCACACAACTTACTTTTTGTCTGTCTGACATGAAAATGATGTCAAAATGAGGTCCCACAGCTTCCATTAGCTCTGTCATAAACCATGCCCAAGAGTCTTTCGTTTTAGCTTCTACAACTGCAAATGCAACAGGGAACATTTGATCATTTCCATCACAAGCTACAGCAGACAATAGGTGACCACCAAAAGATCCTTTTAAAAAGCACCCATCAACTCCAAGGAATGGTCTACAACCATCTCTAAATCCCTTCTTCATTGCAGCATAACAAATGAAGATCCTTTGGAAAGTTTTTATCTCATTATCATATGACATGGGATCAACACCTATTGTTGCACGACTTCCAGGATTGGTTCCTTGAATCAATGCACAGTAATCCCTCAACTTGGAATATTGTTCAGCTTCATTACCCTCAATAATGCTTAATGCCCTTTTCTTTGCCCTGCGTGCCTTATGTTTGGAGACATCAATGTCATAATCAGCTGCAATGGTTCTCTTTAGAGACTCATACCCCATGTTTGGATTCAATCTCACTTGCTCCAAATACTTATTTGCTAGATATGTAGATGTAGCTTGTTGACTATTATGACTCCACAAGCAATTGTTATGTTCCAGGCTCAATGTTTTGATTATGAAACAATTCTCATTACTTGGTCTACTAGCATGTACCTTCCAGCCACAACCATTCTTGCACACTGCTGAGACTCTATTACCATCATTTCTACTGAACCTGATATCCAACTTTTCCTTAAGTACATGGTCCTTAAGTGTAAGCCTAAAATCTGCAGCTGATGCAAACCTCATGCCAAGGTATTTTTCCCAGATCCCTTGAAGGCAAAAATTCCCAACTATTAGGGATGGAATGAATAACATTGTCAATCTCATCATCTGAACCAGGTAAGCTTCTTAACTCATCAGTTGGAGCATATACAGATTCCATTTCAGCAAAATCCATATATGCTTCATCAATGTCATCATCATCACTTGCAGCTTCAAAAGGCATGTCAATATTTGAATCAATAATTGTAGCATCTACATGGCTGTTATTGTTTTCTTCAAGATGTTCTACATAGATCTCTTTTCCCATTAACTGTGGTGCAACAATGTACATATTGATTTCATTGACTTCCTTATATACCTCATGAGATTCAAACATCTTCAACACTTCAACATCAGACCTTAGTTCTTTCAATTCTTCAGCATTAGGCATTTTGTAATAAGCCTCAGTAATCTTCCCATACCCAAGTTGGTCTGCCATATCTTGCACCTCAATGCACGACATTTTGTTTGGATCTACATTGTCAAAATAAGATATCTTCCCTCTTACATAAGCCATATGGGGTGTTTTTTCAAACACACCCCCATGGTTTAACCTAATGCAATATAATATACCCATCTACAAAAAATTATTTACTTAGTAATATTTAAGTCAATTATGTTGCAATTATAATGGTAATGTCAATAGGAAGTATGCACAGTCATAATCAATAAAAAAAGTTTCACACTTTTCATGCTTCATTATAAAGTAAGAGAGAGAATTTTAGCAGAAAAACCTGTATCAAACAAAGGACACTTTTCTACAAAATACAAAAGGGGCTAGTCAACATATTCAATACAAAAGGGACCACTCAACAACCAGTCTAAAAGGAATATAAATACACTAACAATTACTTCACATAACTAAACCTTGGTTGGATATTTGAAAAAGAATAAAGGACCACAACAATCGCATCAAGGGAATCTAACATAAGAATTTCTACAAAATAATCAATACAAAAGGGGTTAGTCAACATATCCAATACAAAAGGGACCACTCAACAACCACTCTAAAAGGAATATACATACACTAACAATTTCTACACATAACTGAACCTTGGTTGGATATTTGAAAAAGAATAAAGGACCACAAACAATCGCATCAAGGGAATCTAACATAAGAAGACACACATTGTTATCACACCCCTGACATAAAGTTCATTATAGTTACAAACAAACAAATGGTACTCTTCAATATCACATAAAATCTGAAAAGCATATATGAGATCCACGTATAAAAGTTCTTTGACCAACATATAAAAGCTATAAAATCTGTCACTACCGAACATTATCACAGACAAAGCAAAAAACAAACTCAGAACAATATATATATATATATATATATATATATATATATATATATATATATCAGCTACAGAAGTACACATAGACACACATTAAAGGTAAGAAACTGCCATTACAGACCAACAAAGGTTTATACAGTGTAATATTATTGATTTAAGACCAAAATCAAACCTAATATTAAGGCATCAACACCAAAATAAAACCCAATCTAACCCAATATTAAGGCGTAAAGATCAAATCAGAACCAATATTAAAGAATAAAGACCAAAATTAAACTCAAAATTAACGAATAAAGACCAAAATTAAACCCAATTTTTAAAGATTAAAAACCAAAATCAATTATTAAGTTCATAAGTATTTACCCCTTGCACCAGATAGCTAAACGACTGGGTATTATAGCTACAAAAGGACTGTTTCAGAGTAGTCTTCAGTGCACTAGAATACAAGATGTATGGATCTTAAAGTGTTAAAGTGTTAAAGTGTAAGGTCTGTTTCAGAGTCGTACAAGAGCTGTTTGTTTCCCGCTGTATACAGACATTGTTTGGCGCTAAAATGAGTGGTGGTTGGGTGATGATAAGTGATAAGATGATAAGGTTGCATTGTGTTGTCAGCTTCTGATTGGTTCTTTAGATTTTTTTGACACATAAACAACATAATACAAAATCTAAACCAAACGACACCGTAACACTAAAGGGTAGTTTGGTAATCTCATTTTTCCAGCACCGGAAATGGTACTGTTGTCCTCATCTGCAACTTTTAAATAGTTCAGGGGGGCATTTGTTAAATCAGGGGTTTTTTTTGCAATTGCCTGATAGTTCCGGCGGGGGGGGGGGGGGGGGGGGGGGGGGGGGGGGAGGGGGTTTGCACTTTACCCTTAAAAATATGTATTAAAAAATTCTTAATTTCCCCTCCCCTATTTTTTTGAATTTAAAATGTACAAGTGTCATTATATCATTACACCATATGATGGTAAGGGGATAATTTTGCTTATGGATGAGTAGGTGAGTATTGTAATATTGTTTAGAAATAAATTATATTATACTATTATTTAAATGTCAATAGTATTTTCATTTTTTAGATACACTTTTTATTAAATATAATATAGTACTAATTAGTTTATGTAATTTTTTAATAATTAATTATTTCGTGCATCATTGTAAGTCGGTTTAGAGACTTTTCACTTTACCAAGCTTGTACATTCATTTTTACACACTTTTTAAACTAATCACATATTATTTTATGTCCTTAATCACATATATTTATATTTATATATGTTGAAGCAGGATTCGGTACGACCAGAAACCGCACCATTTTCCTGCAGCACAAAGGGAAACCTTGACCGACACAGGTGTGGTGCCTACCAAGAGGTTTCCGACAATCAAGTTAGTTAATGGAGCTCAATAGTAAAAGTAGGAATTTAATATATATTTTTCTCATACTTCATTGGTTAGATGGGGCTTCTTCTTATAATTGGCTCTCTCTTTAGTTTGTTGTAGATACGAGGAGATTTTGTAGGGAGCTTCTCAGCTCTTTGAATTTGAACCTCTCTTATTCGTTTCAAGTGATTTAGTTAATCTTTATTTGTTTTGAAATCAACCCGTTAACTCATATAATTGAAGGGCAATTAGACTTTTTGTTTACCTCACCATGAATTACCTTATCAATTGTTCTCCATTCCCAAGCTTGGTCATTAACCTTTGGGAATGTGAATTTTTTTTAAAATGATCTTGGCATTGAAGTAGGTTTATGAGAGCTTCGTGAACTTGTTTTCATCAAGGGAGTAGGGTTTTTTTTCTCAAGCTTCATGAGCACGTCCCTAGTAAGGAAGTAAGTTTAAGTAAGCTTCATAAGCTCGCCCTTTAATAAGGGAATAGATTTTTTGAGCTTCGTGAGCTCATCCCTTTAACAAAGGAAGTTGATTTTATTTAACTTCGCGAATTCTTCCCTTTTTTAATAAGGGAGGTTGATTTTATTTAACTTCGCGAATTCTTCCCTTTAATAAGGGATGTTGATTTTATTTAGCTTCATGAACTCTTTTCTTTAATAAGGGAGGTTGATTTTAATGAGCTTTGTGAACTTTTCCCTTTAATGAGGAAGGTTGATTTTATTTAGTTTCGTGAACTCTTCCCTTTAATAAGGGAGGTTGATTTTATTTAGCTTCGTGAACTCGAGTTTGATTTTAATAAGCTTTGTGAACTTTTCCCAATAAGAGAGGTTGATTTTATTTTGCTTCATGAACTCTTCCCTTTAATAAGGGAAGTTGATTTTAATGAGTTTTGTGAGTCATGGGCAATGCTAGAAAGTTGTGCCCCGTGCAACGTTTAGGAAATTTTACAACTAGCAAAACATTTTTAAATTTTATATATTATTTTTCAATAACATATATTGATTTTAAACAAAAGAATGATGATATATAAAGAATGATGGTATTAAGTCATGTAGAACACAATTTTCCCGAATGAAAAATAATATCAAGGAACAAAGCTACATGTGTAGGGCATAGTAATTTTTAGGGTTAATTACACTCACACCCCCTGAGGTTTGCCCTATTGGCAACCATATGAAAGTTAGCCTATTTTGAAACAATTACACCCCTCTAGGTTTGGTAAAGTTAACAATATACCCCTACCATCCCTGACACAAGGTAAATTGACTTTAATACCCTTTAACTTGTTGATTGACCAATTTCTATAATGAAAGTACCATTTTAACCTTGTTTTAAAAATGATTTTAATGGCCAAAACTAACCCACAATATGCACACACTGTCTTCTTAAATACACATACGGCGGCCACCACCATCAACCCCACCATCACCCACAAGCAGACGGATAAACTCCCCATATACTAGGAAAGGTTAATGGGAAAGTAGGGTTGAATTACGTAGTAGGTTTTTTTTTTTGGTGAGACTACAGATGATGATATCTCTTACCAAATGAGTAAGTTTTCAATAACAAGCCATACCAATTTCTAATCCAACCCACCCCCTCTTTCTCTCTCTATCCACCTACTTTTACTCACTAAGATACAACCCATTTGGGTTGGAATCACTTAACCCAAATCCATACACTCTAGAAAAATCAGTAACAAAAGCATGAACACATATTACATATGGACACACACACAGCTCAGTCTATGTAATTTTCCGGATTAATAAATTTCAACTGATTCAGGAAATTGGTGAAATTTTTTGAATTCTGATTTTTTTTTTTGTTTCTTTATCTCTCTTTCCATTGTGGGTTTAGCCTAATGTTGAATTTTTATACTTTAGTTGCAGAAGTCCAATTGATATGTGTTAACAAACCCATTTGGAGAATAATAGGAACCGTATTATGTCTAGAGGAAATTGCTTCGGTGGATCTCTCGATTTAATTGGTCCAGTATGGGCATAGACAT